TGCTTGCGCTCAATAAAGGCAGAATGCAGGGCACGCAGGCGTTGCAGCAACTCAGCGCGTCGTTTCGCCTCGCCCACTGGGTCGGGCACCTCGACATCACCATGCACGGTCTCCAGATCGACTGACTTGGGTACCCCTGCAAGACGCGCTTTGCGTACTTCGTCGTGGCTGAATCGCATGGTACGGAGTTGTCGTTTCGTAGGTTTGGGCTTGTCGGCGAAGGGCAGGGCTGCTACCAGCTTAGTGGGCACAGTGAGCGGAGCAGCCACAAACGGTTGTCGAGGGATGGGCTGTATAGGGGAAGATCAAACAGAAACAGGTGAAGCATTTCAAAGGTTAAATAAGCGCGTACTGTGAACGTTTTCGTAAATGTTCTGGGGGAAGGGAATTTAGTCACATGACAATTTAAGAGGATGTATGATATTAGCAATATTGATAAGTGGCGTTTCAATGCAGACTGACTAAAGATCAAGAGGCCACGGCCATAAAAATGACAAATAAAATAGATGATTGCCTTAAACCGAAAACGAGAAATCGAAGACAGCAAATGTCAACGAATCAACGCCATATTTAGTCCATGTACGTGGTAATTTCTAGAACTCGGTGTCAATTCGAAGCTCCTATTTACTGACACAACAGTGATCGGCCACAAACCAAGACGTGCGTCACAGAAGACCTTTATTGACGGAGAGCTGCGGCGCACTTTCATCAGCAATGTTTACTGAGAGGTCGGGGTTTTCCTACCCAAAATGAATAATTTTTCTGCACACTTGCTCTCTGATATCCGAAAAACATGGTCCGGTGAAGAGAGAGAATTTATGATATACCCATATGACTAAGGACCCGATAAAACCAAATTAGGTATCTAGATGTACTACAGAGAAATCCACCAAAATATTTGGCTTCCCCGCTGAATGAGTTTTTGTCCTTAATAAGAAATAAAGCCATCTGTCAGGAGAGTAGCTGGCGGGCCTACCTTGTATTGCGAGTCCTCGCGAATCTCAGGTTTTACTCCGGATGCGTAGCGCAGTTCGCCATGGGTACGCAACATACGCCATTGTTTCTGACCAGCGTCATCGCTCGCGGCAGTGCCTGCACGAGGCATGAGGAAGTTGAGAACGGGGTTGTAGAAGGAGGGAATCTCCACCGGCACAAAACTGCGCAGAAAGACAATATCAGCCATGCGGATAGGGGCTTCAAAGGTGGCGCGAAAGTCGCCAGGCTTAAAACTGGCGCTGTTTGTAAGAGCACTCTTCACAAGGCCTGGATAAACGCGAAAAGCGAAGAAAAAAAGCATAAGACAGGGTCAAGTCTCACGAGGTTTGCAGGCTCTTGATGTGGAAACCCGCATTGGCAGACATGATCGCCGAGATTACTGTACTAAAGGCG